CCCCCCCCCCCCGCCAAGTGTACCCTTCCCGACAGGCAGTGCGGCACATTCCTTAAAAACATACACCCGGTTGTAAGTCTCCTGGTTCAGCGTTATTCGTTTAAATGGAGCAGCAACACGAGGGCTAAATAAGCAGCTGGATAAACTGGGCCAAATGAGCCAATCCAGGCGGCTTCATCCCGGAGGCTCTGTGGGACTAGTGTCTTCTCGCCTCTCCTCCAGGGTGCAGGCTCTAAGCCCGAGGCAATCGAGCAGGTTCCAGGAGGCAGAGAGCGCAGGGTGGGCGGCACCGTGGGATTCCCCGCGGCTGGGGTGGTGGGGCTGGAGCTAGGTCGGGAAGGGCGCGCGGCTTGTTGCCTGGCGACTGACAAGCGTCTGAGCTTCCCGGGTGAGCCGTTGGATCCCACCCGGCCTTTGCGGGTAGAAGGGCCGGTCAGATACCCGCCGGCCGCCCCCGGGCAAGCAAGGCCACCCGAATCAGGAGGGCAGGGGCGGCCTGGGAGCCAGGTGAGAGGAGGCCGAGGACTGCGGCGCGAGTGACTTAGGACGGCGTGGGAAGAGAGGCGGTGATATTTGGCAGCCTCAGTTCGGCCTCTCGAACCCACTTTGGCAAGTTCGAGGCCGCGCAGTAGGCAAGACTGAAAATAGGAGTGGGGTTGAGAAGGGATTGGAACAGGGGCCGGGCTTCTGTGGGTCACGGGGCTGGATGGTGCTTCGGGTTACTAACTTCTGTGAGGAGATGAGCAACAGCAGAAGAGGAGCTGGGAATGAAAACCCAGCTGGAAGAGAAAGGTAGATTGTGACGGACCAGGCCTCCAGGAAAGGAGAAGGGATTAGAAGTCAAAGAAGGGAGGAATCAGAGAAGCTATGAGGAGAGTGCGAAAGCACTGTGCAGGAAACGTAATTTCTCTCTCTCTGACCTCCGCTACCACTTTGCAGGAGTTCGTGTGCCTAACGTCAGCATAGGAAGCTGTTTCCTGCCTCTGGTGGGCAGTAGGATGTTGTGGTTTTCCTGGAAGTATTATTTGGCATGGAAGGCCACAGACTCATAATGAATGTATTGTTAAACTACCACGGCAGAAGTCTAAAGGAGAGCAATAGTTCTTTTTTTTAAATATTCAAATACAAATGTTTAAGGAAATGTTTTTTTTCTTTTGTCCTGGAGATTGAATCCCAGAACTGACACATTCTAGGCAAGCACCTTACAAATGCTAGGCCAGCACCTTACCGTTGAGCTACATCTGCAGCCCTTTAATTAAAAAAATGTAAATGGGAACACCTGTACCTTTCCTCTTTATCTTTATTCCTTTTATTTATTTTCCTTGTCATATTGTGTAGCTAGGGCCCTGAGAACAATGCTGAACAGACACGGTAATAAATGAGGCCTTCTTGTCTTATTTCCACTTTTAAGGAGAAAGCATAAACATAATGTTGCTTTTGAGGATTCCCTTCATCATAATGAGGATATTTTCTACATGATTTTTTGTTTGCCCAGAGTTACTTATTTATTTTCGTCATGAATGAATGTTAAATTTTATTGAATACTCTTCCACTATTTATTGAAGTGATAATTTTTCCCTCCACTGTTAATATTAGTAATTATAGCAATTCTCAACTCACTATCATTAAGTAAAGTCAAACCCTATTAGGTGACACTACATTTTTTAAAAGTATAGTTTTAGATTTAATTTGCTAATATTCTTTTTTTTAAATTGAGTTTATCGGTACATTTTAGGCATACAGTACAGTTGCATTCATTACTGGGATCTTGTACCTCTACATGACAGGTCTTGGTTCTCATTTTTTCCCCTTGTCCCTGCCCTCCCTCACCCCTCCTCCCTTCCCCATTTACAAACATTGGGTTGTTGATTCTTGGTAATATTTCCCTTGTGATTGGGGTTTTGTTCATAAAATCTTTTTTTTTCTTTTTATTGAGTTTATTGGTACATTCTAGGTATCAGTACAGTTACATTCATTACTGGAATCTTGTACCTTTGCATGACAGGTCTTGGTTCTCATTGTTTTCCCTTGCTAATATTCTTTTAAGCTTTTTTGCATCCATGCTCATAACGGATATTATTGGTATGTAATTTTCTTTACTTTTAATCTAAATTTTAATTGACTTTTTGTGTTGCTGGGGATTGCTAGGCATGCACTCTACAATTGAGCTACATCCCTCAGCCTTTCTTTCTTACTTAAAAAAAAATCTTTGTCAGGCTTGGTATAGGATTATATGGATTTCATAAAATGAGTTCTTTGTTTTCTATTTTCTGAAAACATTTGTATAAGATTGGTGCTATTTTTTTCTTGAATATTTGAGAGAATTATCTAGGCCTGGATGTTTGTGGCAAGATTTTTAATAATGAATAAAATTTTGATAGGGACATTCAAATTTTTTCATGCTAATTCTAGCAAGAGGCACTTTCAAGGATTTGTTCATCTTGTTTAAATTACTAGACATTGACATTTGGTTATATTGTTGTTTATCCATTAATGTGTTTAGGTTCTGTGGTAAAAACTACCTTTCATTCTTTCTTTTTTTTTTTTTCTTTTGTACTGGGGATCGAACTCAGGTCCTTGTGCTTGTGAGGCAGGTGACTGAACCACTGAGCTAAATCCCTAGCTCAACCAGCTCTTGGTTTTGCTAATTTTTTCAATTATTTTTCTGTCTTCTATTTGATTTTTACTTTTATACTTATGATTTCCTTTCTTCTGTTTACTTTGAGCATATTTGCTTTTTTAAACCAGATTCTTAAGGTAGAACTTCATGTTATTTATTTCATACTTTACCTCTTTATGTTTTAAGCATTAAAGCTACCAGTTCTCTTTTAATCATTGCTTAGTTGCGCACTACATATTCTGATATATTGTGTTTCATTATTATTCAGTCTAAATATTTTTTTTCCAGCTTTAATTGAGTTTATTGGTACATTTTAGGGATACAGTACAGTTACATTCATTTAAATATTTTTTAAGATTCAATAATTTTTTGTGTTCCATTTTATTATGTTAGCTTTTTGGTTATATCTCTGTTCTCAGCATTACTTTCTAGACAGTTATAAAATTGTTCCTCTAGGAATTATACAGCCTTAATATTTCACCTTGGAATTAACACTGAAGTAGTTCACAAGAAATGGAGAAACCTGATAACCATATAGTTCTCTTGCACACTCCATCCTAATCTTTTTGGTTTTTCTCATTATATATATCTCCTTACACACTCTACAGTGTTATAATTTTTCATACTTTAAGATTAAAAACATGAGGAAAAAAAAAAAACCTTTTTGCATTTGCCCTGAATCTCTTCCCAATTCTTGAGGATTTAGTTTTCCCTCTGCTACCATTTCTCCTTAACTGAAGAATTTTGTTTAGTTATTTCTCATAGTTCCTCTTATCTGGCAATTCTCTTAGTTTTCCTTTAGCTGAATATATCTTCATTTTGCCTTTATAGTGTTGGCCGCCCCACCCTTGTGCTGGGCATTAAACCCAGGTCCTTGTACATGCTAGCAAGCTGTGTAATGAACGTCAGATCCTCAGTCTTTGTCTTCATTTTAAGACAGGATACACAGTACGTGCTAGAAACAAAATGGTAGATACAGAAAGGATATATATGCTAGATGCAGAATTTGAGGTTGACAATCTGTGAGTGTGTGTGTGTGTGTGTGTGTGTGTCTTCCAGCAAGCTACACATCTTTTTGCATTGACTTCTGTTTTAAGTGCTGTCCAATTAGAATTTCATGATTCTTTGAATTGTTACTTCCTTGTAAACAATGCGTTGTTTCCCTTTGCTTTCAATTTTGTTTGTGCCTTTAGTTTTCCATAGCTTCTTGGGGCTTTCTTTCAATTTATCTCACTTGGGGTTCACTAAGTATCTTGAATCTAAGAATTTATATCTTCAAGTTTGTGAGGTTCTCAGATATCAGTTTTTCAAAAACATTTTTTTTTCTCCACCCTATCCTCTCCTTTTACGATATCAATTACCCTACAGGGGTAGGATATTGTCTCTATAGAACTTTGATACTCAGATTTTTTTTTCTTATTATTTTATATTGAATTACCTTCCAGTTCATTCTTTTCTCTGGCATCTCATTTTGCTAGACAAATTGTTAATAAAAATATTACATTTTTTCAGGAATAAAATTTTATTGCTAAGTTTTAATTTCTTCATTAATATTTTATTATTTGTTTTTGTCATATTTTTCTTATTTGACTAAACATAGATATAATAGCTGCTTTACAATCCTTGTCTTTGCAAGGGATTTAGCTCAGTGATGCCGCAACCTGCAAGGGCAAGGTCCTGGGTTCCATCCCTGGTACCAAAAAAAGAATTACAATCCTTGTCTAATAATTTCAGTATCAGGGTCATCTTCTGGAAAGGCATCTATTGACTTTGAGAATGGGGCAGATTTTCCAGGTCCTTTCTGACAACTATTCTTTTGTTATATTATAGACATCATGAATTTTCTGTTGAATATGCTAGGGCTTCTGTTACGCCCCCTCCAAAGAATGTAGGTATTTTTCACTTAGCAGGTAGAGCAACAGGTTAGAGTCACTGTGAGGTTGATCTCACTCTCTGTGGCTGGTGACTCAGTTCAGCTAATTCTATTTTTTTTTTTTTTTTGGTACTGGGGATTGAACTCGGGTCCTTGCGCTTTCAAGGCAGGCCACGGAACCGCTGAGCTAAATTCCCGGTCCCTAGCTAGTTCTCACTTCAGCCTTTTAAGTCTTTGCCATGCTGCTTCGCTGCTTTGAGTGTAACACATGAATAGTTCAAAGGTGAGGTTTGGGTGAGGTTTAAGATCGAATTGGGTTCTCTCTCTCCCTCCCCTCCTCCTCTCACCTTCTCCCCGCCTCCTGGAATTTCTCTTTTCCTTCTTAATGATTACTGTAGCCTGGGATTCATTCCTTTATTCTTCTGGCCAGAATAATGAAGGGTATTCTGTTGAAGATGTCACTTGCGCTGATTTAATTTTGCAATTATGATTACAGTTAAGGAACAGCTACAGTAAACCTGGAAACTCACCTCCAGGCTAGTATTTCACAAATTTTGACTCACCTACAATCAGCATCATTTAGTTTGCTCCTAAGATACCTCAGGTAGTTGTGTGTGTGTGTGTGTGCTTATATTTTTGTCTGAGTATGTAAGTTTTTATTAATGAGGGATTGATTTGTAACTGTGAAACTCTAACAAACTGCCTTTGAAACTAGGAGCACACAAAATTTAATGTGTAAAAAGCATGATGAAAATTACAAAGACACACAAAACCTTTCCTTTTTCTATTTTGGTTAATTGAGCAATTAGATGATGGAAATTAACAAGGTAAGATAGAAATTGAGAAAATGAAAAAGCAGCAAAGATATTTTGCTTCATTAGTTGTTTTATATTTATGTGTGTGTGTGTGTGTGTGTGTGTGCATGAATATTCTCACAGAAGATAAGGACATATCTAGGTCTTGGTCATAAAGAAAATAAGTTTTTATTTTTCCTCAGCACCAGGAATCAAACTC